CGGGGGTCGTTTTTAAGAACCTTATGTTATGTCGGGGAGATGTCTTAAGGACGTACTTTTATGGTGAGATCAGTCTTAAGAACCGTATGTCGATAAGGCGGGGGAATCAATTTGAAGTTCCAACTCTAGTCAGAGAAATTTGACATCTAAGTTATGATCAGTTTTCAAATTAGCTTATATGCTGGTTTCTCAAAATACCGTATACTTGTCGCCAATAAGGTGTTATGTTGTGTAAAACCGTGCACTATGTGTAATATCGTTTCATTGCGCTATAGAACCAATGAGAAGCAGAATTATAAAATACGTTTTCTTTAAATGAAAATAGAGCACCGTAAAAAAATACCGTCACACTACATATACGTACGTGTATGTCTCATAACTTGTATTAGTTAGTAACAGTTTGCTTATTCATGCATGTCAATCCGTACACTTTGTGTAATGAACTGGTGGGATTAATAAACGTTCTACTGGGGGATAGTTTGTGTCTTACACCTGTTCTTAACAGATAATATGAAAAGGCAAAGCCTTAAAAGATCTCTGATATTTACTAATTCAGAATACTGCTTTCAGAATGCAATAAGATAAGATAAACTTTATTTAAAGTCAACAAGTTGAGGAATAACAATAAAACACAAGCTCTAATGAGATTAACGATATAACAATAGGAGAGACCGGGCAAGTTCGGCCTTTTTTTAATTTAATTTTTTCATTAAAGTCCGTTCTAGGAAGTATGGCAGCACGTCCGTTTTTGAACATTATTTAACTTTTCCTGTCGGAAGATCGGATGGCCGAACGAGCCCCGCCATGGGGTAAGTTCGGACAGGCATTGGGGTACGTTTGGCCCCTATTGGAATCAGCTTAACTATGACGTCATAAAGCATGCAACATCAGATTTTACCGCAAGTTTTATGACGTTTCATGTGTTAACTACAAGGGCAGACCTTGTCACGGTATTATTGGCCGATCCTGTTCGGGCCCAAATTGATATTTCAATAAGATCTTATCGTACAGCAATATGGAGGTGAGTGATTGGCTTGGCTTTTGTGTATTATCATTTGAAGCTGTCAGTGTGTTACACGTTTGACTGCAAAAAAAAAGTAGCAATTCTGTTTCAAAAAGTTCGTATAACTAGAAGCGAGATCATGATTTTCTTTCTACCCCCTCAAAAGTAATTTTCTCCTGTTAAATCATTTTACATTGGAGTTTTCCTCGCCATTTTTTCTTTCAATGCCCTCTCAACTAAACTGCTAAGATCCTTAAAGATATAAATATTTGCTCAAAAACAAAAATATCAGGGATGGCCGAACTTGCGCCGGTTTACCGTATGTATCATTGATGATTATTAAAAATGTATTCACAATATATTTTAACATCGATGACGCCAGTTTCTTCCAGTCAAAGCTAAAGTAAGATATAAATTCTTGTGCGTAACGTATAAGATGGGTCGGGTGGCGCAGTGGATAGCGCGCTCGTCTTCACCAAGATGGCCGGATTCAATCCCGGTCACCTGCCCGACCACGCGGGTTTTCTCCGGATACTCCAGCTTCCTCCCACATTAAGAATTAAATCCTCTGCGTGCTTCCGTCAGGGCACAAAAAGAACTGTTTGTTAATTGCTATAAAAAAGTAAATGTATAGAGATATTGGTTAAAAACTCAAATTAAAAACAAACACATTGTAATACTTTAATGTAACTGAGATCGTCGTTATATCGATATGTAGTCTCAATTACTTTTCCATCCCTAAACGCCGTATTGAATATCACATTTTGTAACTGTCACCGAGGTTTTACAGGTATTGATGCCAAATAGAATTTAACAGTTTCTGTCTGTAACTAGATATAAATCAGCACGCGTTGTGAAAAAGTAATACGTTGCTGTAAAAGTGCGTTGAACTCGGGTTGGTTGTCTGGAAAATTATTGTTAATTTCGTCATAAATGCATTAACCATTGTTTCTTTTACAAGTGGTGGTGCATGAATAAATTATGTAAAGTCTAAAATATGACCAGACTTTCAAAAATGTTCAATTTTTCGTTCATTTTCTCAACAAATGGAAATCAAAAGCTGATGAAATGTTTAGATGATGAAAACATAAATGTACACAATGACCTATTGGTTTAATGCCGGATTGTGGCGTGTTTGTGACGTCATAGTATGATAATCTCCGAACGAGTTTTCATGCCTGTTAGTATCAGATTTTATGTGATAGACTTTTTGATTCAGAATGTATATTAGTTTTTATCTCAATAAACAAATAATAAAACATAAGGATTGTTTTCACTATATGAAGATGTTCATGTATGGGTTGAAACACAGTTGTCTTTGCTTCAAGGAAACACTTCCTTTTTTTTTTCAAATTGTTTTATTTCCCCATCATCTTTGGGAGGGATGCCAGGGTTGGGGTGCCCCGGGATCACCCCTCTTTCATAATGTAGCCTCATGCAAAAGGTACACTTCCTGTTTCCCCACTGGACGTCTACTTCCGGACGAAAAAAATTAAAAGCAATGTGTAGTAAGGGGAAGCAACTCTGTTTACGCACGCATGTGTTACCATTAAAGAGCTTCTCTCGGACGCTCTTACTAAGTAAATAGATATTCATTTTTTTTTTAATAATATAAATGCACATGTGATCCGAAAACGCTGGTGTTACCGTGTAATATGACTCAGGCATGGCCTGGAGAGAGCGAAGCTCGTACATTTGTTTTGATAGTATAGTATAATTTTTGAATCATAACATTACCCATTTTAATACATACAAAATGTACCTGCATTTTTTGTTATAATACACTTGAATCTGTTGCTGGGCAAAATCATTCATTTTGAAAACAGGCATTGCCTGAAACGAGCGAAGCGTCTAAATGCTGTTTTTTCAATCTTATTTTCTAAATAACATTATTTAAAATGATATATATTTATTCGTTTTATAGCGATAAAGTATAATTAATATTAAATTAATAATAAGTAAAGAAAAACATTCGACTGAAATATGCAGTTCAAGAGAAAACATAAATGCATTTGGTACCGTTGCATTTAATTGCCCCGTCTATTATAAGAGCGCAGCGCTTCTTGCGCTGAGGCGCAAGAAGCGAAGCTCTTTTCCGGTAACATGTGTACGAACAATTGAAGTCATGGTAACGTCGAAATACTATGCTTCCAAAATCCTTCGTCACGGAAGTAGCTAGTACAGAGCTACCGCGGTCCTATTTTTACGATGCTGTTTAGCTTTGCTACACATTCTCAAAAATATCTCTTTTTTTTTTTTTTTTTCTCTGTGGTTATGTAAATTCATGACATTAAAAATTATAGAAACTGAAGCTTCTTTCAAATTTTCAGTCTTTTCTTCTCTCCACCCAAACCGGAAGTATATAGTAACTACCAAACCAGACGGAAATCCGGATATGTTTGGGCTATTGTGATTCTCTTTTTACACGATTTAGAGGGATCGGGCAAAGTATATCATTTCGGAAAATAAAATTGGAATTTAATCACCAATATACTTAACTTTTATAACTATGAAGGTCCCATGGATAAGTCAAACACTCATCAGCAAACGGCACTGAGCACGCGATATTAACTAGTTGCCCGAGTAACGATTCTGTAATACACATACGATATGAAGAACACTTAAAGGAAACATTTTCACCTTTACTTGTGATGGATTCCAGAATATCGCCTGCATTACTACAATAGACCTGCTGCATCTAATTACTGCATGTTATATTGAGACGCGATTTATTAGGGACATCACTCCTACGTTTTGGTGACACTAAGCCGTTTCTCTAAGCAGTCCTCTCTGTCCGGTGTGTTCTCCTTTCCCACTTTAAAAAAAAACAACATAGAGGCAGTAATATAATGTTGTGATAGCAGTTATAGTCTGTTTCATATATATTTTACCTGGTTTTTACCTGTGTTCTCCCACATTATCTGTATCATGTATACAGTACTGTCATATATATGTAGCTTTGATATAGTCTATTGTCATCATTTTTAGCCATTTTTTTCATATCATACACCATTTTCATCAGCTAGATCTATACAAAACAGTAAGGTGAAATCCACAAATATTTTATATATTTTATAGTATATATATATAGATGATAATGCTTTGATTAATTCTTTTTTTTTTAAATTTTAATTTTGATTGATTTAATTTAGGGTGAAGCAAATTCATATTGGAGCATTATTTTCAGAGAATCTTTTTTACCAATAAATGCGTCTTCAGTGTAATTGTTGATAACTTAGTATCACTCATTAGAATATTTTCCCCTAAAACATAATCATTAGTTATGTTTCTATTTGATAACCCCATATGGCTTGGGTCCACTGATATTTCTAGTTGATAATAATGAATCTTAACACCTTACGCCGACACTTTCTACTGTGATGGAACGTTTTAGGTGTGCCCGACCACAGGCAATTGCGTGGCCCGACTCAG